TAAGTATTTCTTCTTAAAATATCTAAAACTTATTAAATAATCACTTTTTTTTTTATATATCTTTGTGTATAGATTATTGGAAGATTTGGTTCAGAAGGAACGAGAATACCATTACCTTTTAAAGCAGTGTCTGGAACAGAGAAGCCATGACTTGCATCTACTCCAGATCAAGTCAATCCCCAATGGTATAAACACTTTAATGTCATTGACTTCGCATCAGGTGATATGTACAGTGTGGCCTCAGCCTACAGGCAGTTAAAAGAAATCATTTTACATACAAGTTGTGATTAAGGTGACACCTAGGCAGGGTAAAAAAAATTATATATTTTTTTACTATAAATAAAATAGATAAAACATATCTGTCCAAAAAAAAACACCTGCATTAAGCCTTAATCTCAACGGAGGATGTCCATTTTTGCAGTTTTTCTCTAAAAAGAAATCTACCCACTTATCATTATTAGTTACATTACACAAAATTAAGTTCACTGTTTAAGGTTTGCATTTTTATAATTTCTCACATCAGATATCCCGAGAACCGCATCGTATGCATCCCTTACCAAAATCAGAGACCAAGAACTGATTGAATGGCTGAGACAGCAAGGTGCAAGCGAAGAGGTGGTGGAGAAGGTGATCATTTTGATTTTTTAAAGGGGTTACACAATTGTATATTGTTTAACTTTCAGTCATAAATACATTTATTAATTAAGGGAAAAAACAAAATTTAAAACATCTGCAAAAGGTGTTCGCTTCACAAATAAAGGTCCATCATTATAAATTTCAACATTAAAAGCGAAGTTGGAACGAGACATAAGAACAAATATTACATGTGAACAAGGAAATGTGATCATTTTTGAACAGTCTAGATTATCACTGAGTGATTGTCACCAGAACCTACTTTGTGGACATTGTCACACTTGCCAACTTGTCACATCTCATGTATTTTGATTTACAGTTTATTGAAGAGGATTATACACTGTATGATATCCTGAATGAGATCACCAAAGAAGATTTGCAAAGCCTACGACTAAGGTATAAACAGTAAATAAATAACAATAATGCTGGGAAATGTTAGTGCTAGCATTGTTCCTTTAAATTAATAGACATACACATATGCTTGGTTTTCTTTAGGCATGTGTTTAAATATTGGACATGTTTGAGGTCCCCAAACTGTATTATGAAATTGTAAATGGTGTACTGTGGGATCATACTCTGTTTTAGCGGTAGGCATCCTTCAGCAATCCAGATGCTGTGGACTACATCTGCCATAATGCTCTTACAGCCGTAATGCTGACCAAGCAATAAGGAAGATGTAGTCCACAAAATCTGGAGTACCACTTTATGCTATTATTATACAGATACTCCTCACTTACTGACCTGGTTCTGTTCTTATGACCGGATCGTAGAATGAATTGGTCGGTAAATGAGGAGTTAAGGGGTTCCCTACTCTGGTGCGCTTGTCTATGTTCAGGGAAATTTCCCCGAACATAGACAAACGCAGCAAAGCAGAGAATTCCCACGATTAGCACTTATCCCCACGCTAGAGAGCTGGTTGTAAGTGCGAGCCGTCGTAAAACAGGTAGGTCGTAAAATGAGGACCACCTGTAATTATATTGGTATAACGATAGGCTATTGGTCTAATTATCTGTTTAAAGAAGTTTAGATCAATTTATTCAGATGTATATTTGCTACCAATTTGGCTAGAAAATATTATAGTTAAAGTGTTTCTTTTGCTATTTAAATTATACTAGTGTAGCTTGTAACCTGTAATACAACTCATTGTAAAGCACAGGAAAGCCGTGATCCGTGCGCTTGTGGCTCCAGCAGAGAGCTTCTCAATGAGAAGCTTCTGAATGCAATATTGAAGGGGAGGGCTGGCAAATGCTACAAAAGAGATCTGCAGCTTTTGCAAGTTTTTTTTTATATTGTAGGAATAATTGAATATTACCCCCAAAAAACATGTAGAAAATATACAGAACACCACAATCACTTCATTAAAGGACCACTATAGTGCCAGGAAAACATACTCGTTTTCCTGGCACTATAGTGCCCTGAGGGTGCCCCCACCCTCAGGGTCCCCCTCCCGCCGGGCTCTGGGGAGAGGAAAGGGGTTAAATCTTACTTTTCTCCAGCGCCGGGTGGGGAGCTCTCCTCCCCTTCGGCTGAATACGCATGCGCGGCAAGAGCTGCGCGCATTCAGCCGGTCACATAGGAAAGCATTGTCAATGCTTTCCTATGGACGCTGGCGTGCTCTCACTGTGAAAATCACAGTGAGAAGCACGCAAGCGCCTCTAGCGGCTGTCAATGAGACAGCCACTAGAGGAAATAGGGGAAGGCTTAACCCATTCATAAACTGCTATGTTTATGAAAAAATGGGTTAACCCTAGCTGGACCTGGCACCCAGACCACTTCATTAAGCTGAAGTGGTCTGGGTGCCTAGAGTGGTCCTTTACGGACACATGACATGTGTGACATGTCATGATTCCCTTTTATTCCAGAAGTTTGGTCCTTAAGGGGTTAAATGACACTCCAGACCCCTAAAGTAGTTAGTTTGCTGAAGTGCTTTATGTGAAGGGTATGTTCTCTTTTTTTCATTTTCCAAAAAATACAGTTTTCATCACAAAATGGCACTTTTCTAAATTAACTTTGCGCCCCTCCTCCTTGAGCTACTCTGGGAAGTCTGTTATTGGACTGCAACTGAAAGTCTGGGCTGGGGAAGAAGTAGAGTACTTGCAAAGGCTGCAGATGAGATCTTTCTTTTGTTTTCATCTATACCCCCAATGACAAAATGCATAACTAAATGCATGCATATTTCCACTGAGGATGCATATCTACTCAACAAAGATCCTTTACTTATTTATTTTTTCTTGTTTCCCTTTAAAATACCCTATAAACTGTGAGCAGAGGGTGTGATGTGCTGCTGATGAGCAATTATAAGAATATTCCAAACAAACAGGCACAAAAAGGCACCCATGAAATATAGCATCCAAAATATCAGACTTCTACTGTGATTCTTTACCCTTTTCCCTCACCTTCACCTGGACCAATTCATGAGAAATACAATAATATTGAAGGGACACTCAAATCTAGTGGGATATCTGCTAAATACATTGTCTTCTGTTTTGTAGGGGTGGACCTCTTTGCAGAATTTGGAAGGCTATAACAAAATACAGAAATCCTCAAAAAATACTTGGCCCGGACAATTAACCACAAAAGTATTTTCGGCACTGAGTGTGTAAAATGTACCATATCGAAAGGAAAAAAAAGAAGACATTCCGTCTTTTAAATTATTTTATCTTTTGTACATCAGTGTATAGATATTTTTTTCTTGTCTTTGTACGTGTAGATGGTTTTTAAACATTTCTCTTCTGACAAAATCTGGAAAGTAGGGTCTTCTATCAGAATTTTCCTGCTGCTGCAGTGGTTGTAGTTGACAGGCTACAACAGACTTATAACATCTTAGGTTTTATATTTCTTTTTTTTTTTTCAATTGTGCAAGAAAAGATGCACATACAAAATAAATATAACAATTAAGAGTTTGTACCATGCAAAAAAATGACTGGTGTTAAAATATTGCATTGCAATCAGGACGCAAGTCACATTAGGATAAATCTGATCCATTTTGTGTCAGTTTTGCCATAGTGAAGCTGTTAGAACTTTATTTTCTTAATACTTGAATTATGGTCTAAACACTAAATCAAAATGCAAAAAAAAGCATTATGTAGCATTCACAAATATGTATGTAATGCTTCTACGCCTTCACCAAACTAAACGGAAATGTAAAATTGCACTTCTTGGTGTGTTGTCGTTTTTGTGTGTGTGTGTGTGTGTGTTTTAGCAGGATTGGAGGACGGGTACTTGGTGACATGAGATGCAATTATTCAGATTTTTTCAGATCTGGCATCCTCCGTAAGAATTTCACCCAGTCTCCACTCATTCAAAAAATCATTGAAAACTAATTTCTTCAAGAAAGCATATCAATTAAACTGTTAGCAGGTTTTCATCCCCCACCCTCCATGACTCCTCTCCTGCAACTGTCAAAAATGACCTATTAAGCTCTCAGCGAATACTTTTCTAACATCTTACTTCGTACCCCTACTTTTACCCTTTGTGTCACTATACCCCACTCCCTCTAGAGTGTAAGCTCATTGAGCAGGGCCCTCCACCTCTCTGTTCCTGTACGTCAAGTTGTCTGGTTACAATTAAATGTCTGTTAGTCCACCCTTTGTACAGCGCTACGGAATCTGATGGCGTTATATAAATAATAAAATAATAATAATTGCATTTTCAGTCTTCCAGGAGGGATGTGTGCTGAGGGAAGATAAACTATTACACATTCCTCATTTTCTCTCTCATGACTCACACAGGTATTATACTCACTATTATTATTATTGGTATTTATTTAGCGCCGACATATTCCACAGAACTTTAGCAATACCCACTAAACTGTGAAATGACAGAAAGTTTCACATTTTAGGTCAAAATAGCCCACTTTAAATAATGTTGTTTTGACCTAAAAGATTATATTTACCTTTAGTTCTTGAGAATTCAGCATTTACAGGGTTATTCACTAATCAGAATTTTCAAATCCAAATGGTAAAACTGAGCAAAAATTGAAGATCTGGAAAATTGTTGCACCTCAACCAGTCACCAATTGGCTAATTTTGCCTGAATTTAGTTAGTAACAAGTCAGAGATACAGCAAATTTATATACACCTTTCTTTGCTTAGTTTATCATACGGGGAAGCTCCCTCTATCTCCACCCCACAGCATCTGGGTGTAATGTGATTGTCAAGTCTCCTGAGCAGACCTGTTTTCCATGTTGTGACATTTCCTCAGTTATTTACAGAATGAGAGCTCATCTCCATTCTGAAATGGTGCAGCTGGGCCTTGTAACTTATCCAATCAAACCATGGGAAGAATACATTCAGGTTTATGAGAACCAGTGAGTGCAGGATTAAATATAATCTCTTATTTTATGGTATGGAAAAGTTTACATTGTATTTAATTATTCAAGAAAGGCTTTTATTCACATCATTTTGCATACATAAACAGTGGGCTTGTTTCAATATAAGCTGTTTTACAATAATATTGCAGCATTACAGTGCAGTAAAGTCAGTCGTGATAGCAATACTATAATTACAAGTCTAGAAATCAACGCATCCATGAAGTGTACTACAGGTGTCATATCTGTATACAGGCGTTTATAATAATGGGTGCGAATGCAATGCAGTTAAATGTGACATTGCCGACAGATATTTCAAAATATGTGGGCATTTTTATGAAGATGTGCTTAATGAACTCAAGAGTAACGAGTATATTATATATGTAAGTCTATCAGTGCTAACTTTAAGTATTTAAGTCCATACTGATATCAGTACAGCGGACTTAGAAGCGCGTGTCTTATAAGGATTACTAATAGTCGGTATGGGGAAGTATGTAGATAAATCGCATGGTTGCAACTGTGCATCAGGCCCACCTGCTATCCAAGTTGTATGAGCTATGTAAGTTTTCAGGTTAACCGTTAAAGGCTAGTGTCAGCCCACAGTGTTTCGCTTATGTATGTCTGATTGTTCATTTTCTTTTGCTCTATCCTATTTCCTGTGTGTTTTCCTGCAATTATAAAGGGTATATTCCAAAAAACTAAATCAATTTACAGGGTTACAGTTATGAACGTTGTGCCTTAACATGCGGGAAGAAGAATGCAGTAAAGAAGCAGCAGCTCTTCTGTTTATCGCCACCTGGGAGCCCCTGGGTTCTTATGATTTATCTTGTGGCAAAAACGGTGTCATTAACTATGGCGTATGGCCTACTCCATTCTACTGTTAGGCTTTTGTAGCCATAGCCCAGACTCCATATTAAGTTTGTACCAAGTATAACTCCCTCTAGCGCTCCAGGTAATCATGATGTGATAATATAAGAGAAGGGGAAATAAAAAAGATGTGAAGTATGCCCTCGGGGTTGTGGAGGGGCCTGTGGTATAGGGCCCTACGTGAAGATCCCTGGTTAGGTCCTCTTGTGAACCCCAGGGATCTTGGTCCAAGCACGTGCGGCCAGGTTATATAGATTAAAAAAAAAAAACACAAGTAGGTAATTAAGGAAATAAAATTAAGTAAAAATAACTTCCTGCTTTAGGTGGGAGCTATCCTTGCCTGAGTGTGTCACATATGAGGTGTAGTATGAAGCCTCTGCGGGGTCCTGCCTAGTACATCAACATCAGGCACCCGTGGGTGCCAACATATACATTAACACCCAGCTCCTGGTAAAGCCCCCCCCCATGAGCTTCCAGGTATAGCGAGCACTTGAGGTAACCCAGTCCATGAGAACCCCCTCTCCTAGAGTCCACTAACTGGACGGCCTCTGCACCTCCACTGTCCCGGTGGAGTCTCAATAAGTAAGACAGGGTGCCTCCGTGGGCCCCCTCCATCGCCGACCACTGCTCCTAAGCTTAGTCCATGCGACCACCGGTCCACTGCAGCCCCCCACAGACCAGCCCGGCCGGGCTCGCACCAACGGGAAGCAACATTCTCCAGGTCTCCGGATCTTCTAGAGATGGAGGTCACTCCTGTCCGACGCTAGACAGTCCGGTAACCATGATGCCACTGCATGTCGGCAGTCCTCTCGGCGCTCCTGAGTGATTTCTGGGCGGACTCCTGGATGAGTGTGTTAGTAGTCGTTTAATCCGGTCCGTGACAAGCCAAGTAGGGGGCTCCACAATGTATGTCTTGTCTCCCCTGTAGTGGCTGAGTACATACTGGCAGAGCTGCACTAACGTCCCACAATTGCAGGCTGGTAACCGCAAGCCTGTATATGAAAACTTGCATCTTCAAAACAGGAAACAATTTAACAGGTAACTGGGATGACCCTCCAGATCCTGGGGGGGGGTGCGGGGCCGCAGCGTGCTCTCTCCGGTCACCTCTTGCACGTTAGGAGAGGCAGGCGCTTTCATATCATGCTCGTTCACTGAGCATGTGCAGAGTGCTTCCAGGCACAGCAATAGGCCTCAGGTTCATGCCATCATGTAGGCCCGAGTTTTCAGCTTCCTCACTTTTGTAAGATCTGCAGCCGCTGGTTGGTCTCTTTGTGATGCTGGCAGGTTACTCAATTCAGATATCTTAATTTTGAAGGGTTAATAGTCAGTTTGTGGGCAGAAAATCAGTGTTTATTCAGGCTTAGGACCGGAGCTGCATGATATGGCTCCACGGTCCAGCCCCGCCCCCTACATTTTATTTAAAGTTTGTTTCACTTCTCTTTTTTTAGTTATTTTTTTCAAATGATGTTTGATGCCTGGAAACATTTATCCTATATTTAGCATTGAGAATGTTATGCTAAGAATCCCAACTACTTACATGGAAACTATTACCGACAAGACACAAAACACAAAAATAGCTCAACAAAAATGCCTCTCATTGTCATTGAGGCTATTACTGGGAATAATATTCATATACAGTAAATGTTGAAAGGGTGATTGCATAGCAGATGTACCTCAGTTACCTTTGATAAATAACATCAGGAATAATCAGTGCAAAGACACAAAATAGTAGTGGTTTATTAACAGTAGTGAATTTAAAACACGAAATTTAGGCCAAAATAGCAGAGTTGGAAAAACTTGCCATTTCAGGCATATAATTGCATATTGTAGTCTGAATTGTCCATTCACCTTAATGTATGGTTTAGTCAATAAACACTATAGAGTACAATTCGGTTACAAAAAACAAAAACAGAAGTTTGTACTCACCGTAAATTATTTTTTTCTTAATATGGTGGCAGTATGTATGGGTTGTTTTTCCTAATTGGGACAAGCATCTGCAAGATAGGTGATTAAGAAAAGTCCCTCCCCTTTACCCTATAAAGGGCTTCCCTGGTAAACCCACCTCAGTCGTAGCAAGAATACACACCTAAGCCACACACTGTAAGCAAAATTGTAATTTAGAGAGAGAGGTAGATTTGTACTGCCACAATATTAAGATAAGAAGAATTTACAGTGAGTAAAAACTTTCAGTTTTTTCTGACATATGGTGGCAGTACATATGGGATATTGCAAGATTCCCAATCGGGTGGGCCTTGTGCCTAAACAGCTTGAAGCACCCACGCCCTCACACAATTTTAGAGGCAGAGCGTACATATAGCCCGAAAATGCCTGACGTTTTTTAAGGTGCTAAAAGCTGACCAAGAAGCAGCTGTGCTGATTTCTTCGGGTGAAGCAAGAGCTTTTCTCTGCCCACGAAGCGGCCATTGCCTTTGTGGAATGCGCTGGGAAAGATGCTGGCGAATAAAAACTACTTAAGCGTAGGCTATTATGCTAGACAAAATAACGAGAGACTTCATTCCCCTTAAAACTTTCCTTAAAGTTGACAACAGGTGATCTAATCTTTTGAATTCGGCTGATATTGATAGGTACATCTGAAATGCCAATTTTTAACTCTAAAATATGCCATCTAGTTCCACCGGGGAGGTGACATAATTATAGAAGGATGAGCTGATTAATGGCTCTAAAATATAACTCTGGAAGAATTTAAGTTTTAGGATGAAACACAACTTTCACCCTGATGGAATATAAGAAATTCCACTAAAGAAGATATATACAGAAGCTCGCTTACTCTCTTGGCAGAGGTAATGACCACTAAGAATGCTGGTTAAGTTTTAGCGTATTAAAAGGAACCACCTCCAAAGTAAAAGGGGACCTGAAAGACTGAAGAAAGATCCCAGGAGGGAAACAGAACTTCCTGGGTGGCCCAAGAAGCCTATTGCTTTAAAGAAACTTCTAACAAGTATATACAAAGACCAATCCCTTCTCAGATATAACTTGGGAATACAATTTGGTCTTATCGTGGAAACGCCCAACCTGTGGAAATCTCCTACATGAAGTGTAAATTTGAACCAACCGGACAAATTAACTAGAAGACACTGACGTTCCTTACAACAATGTAGATACTCTACCCAAATCCTCATGTAAAAGTTAGAGGCAGAATGACTAGAAGATTATACGCAACAAGTGGACTCTGACTCATGAAGACTCAGGAGATGAAGGATCCACCATGCAGTCCCCTACCGTCAATAAGAACATATTCAACACCTTCAGTAGGATATCCTGTCTTTTAAAAGTGTTTTTGAGATCGGAAGAGCCCCAACCTTGAAAGTCATCTTCACCAAGGCCAAAAACTGGCTCATGTTTGGCCAGTATGGAAAGATTGGCAGAACCACTGCTCTGTCCGTTCACCTCTTTTGAAGAAGTCTTGGGAACAGTCTATAGGAGGAAAAATGTAAAAACAAAAACCCTTAGATAGATAGACCAACTATTCCACATGAACCATCTGTCCTGTACAGAGAGGCAAACCTGAGAATCTTCATGTTCTCCCTCTTTTCATAAGGTCTGTCCAGGCACTCTTAATCTCTCTGTAGACCGTGAACATGATCGGATCTATAGACCCTCAGATCGGATCCCAATTTCTTGTGCTGAGGTTGTAGGTGATGACATTGTCGACACATCATGAGTTGAATGGAGAGAGGGCCTCCCAGAGATCTTGAGCCCAGTACACCATTTTGGTACATAGCTAAAACAGACCTTGCCTCTGGCACTGCCCTGTCTGTTGACATGAGGGAAACAGTGTCGTGGTCTGACCACATTGTAATAGGTCCCTCAATCAACCAAGATCTGAATCAGTGACGGGAGTGAAGAACTGCCTTAAGAGCTCTAAATTAGTGAACTATTTTTCTTAGGACCAAGAACGCTGCCGCATTAGAGAATTTAGACGAGCAACCCAGCCTTAGATGCATTCTGAGGAGAAAATTACTCCTTCTATAGGCTGAAATGACAGCTTCCGCTTTTTTCGAAGAGAGTCTAGGAGACAGAAATCCAAGATTTCCACACTTTGACCCAGAGGAGAGAATTTTCCACTGTGCGGCCAAATTTTGATTTTTCCCAGTTGACCGCAGGAATTGAAGATGTCAGCAATCTCTTTTCCTGTCCTTATGGAGAAATGTTTACTTTATTAGTAACTGGACCTTTCCTTTATGAGTGCAGTAGATGCAGAGGTAACGTTTTACGGTTAACACGAACCTCAAAAAACCCTATGTTTCCTGGAGAAGAAAATACATTATCGTCTCCGTATCCAACCGTGTTGCTGTAGCGCTCTGCTAGCTACCTTAACATACTAAAGGGCAACCGTCCCGATCAGCAATAAGTAGCCAAACTACCAAGTAGGGAATGCCTCGTTCCCTAAAATATGCTGTTATGGGAGCGTTTTGAAGAGCAATTAAATCTCTTCAATCCACTTATGGCGTATTTTCAGAAAACATCTTGAAGGGCCGTAATAGGGATATGTGGGAATATATCTCTGTGATCTATATACAACATGAAATTCCTTGCTGAAGAATCAGAGTTACAGAGAGGAACCAATTAATTTAAATTTATAACTGGTTTAAAGGAATGATCAGAGGTTGATAACCAGGAGATTCCTGAGGAACCCAACGAACTTTGTGGTTCACAGAACCATATCCCAAACTCATTGAATCCAACAGAAACACTGTTTCTGTAAATAGAATATCAGATGTTCGGAAAATTATGGATTGGGCAGATTTGAAAGGAGCAAGCAGTGCCCTCTTTAACTAGATCAAGAAACCAGTGATTGCAAGTAGGTTCTACTAAAATGCCAGGCAAGAGACATTCAGATATATACTGGTTCCCAAATGCATCCTGGGAATGCTAAGTGACTCAGTTGAATGGTACTGCAGTCATCTACCTCAAAGGGATGAAGGGCTGGGTCAACCTTGCAGGGGAAATGAACCTGTTAACCCCAAGGGTTGAACAAGGTCTAAACCCACTGAGCTAGCCACACTTTGTATAGAATTGCAGGATTACACCTCCAAGCTTCTTGGCGTCTGAAGTGCCTACCCATGTCGAATCTAGTTCTACTTGTCTTTGAGGCAGATCTTTTTTACTTTTTCGACAAAGGTTATAAAGGATACCCCTTTTCCTAATGGGAGTAAACAGGGGACCGAAAAGGATGCTGATCTGCCGTCCAAGCTTAAGCCACCAGGATATAAGGGAAACAGCATATCAACCCCTGATCTTGGCTGTCATTGTCAAATTCTATTAGTCAAATCCATATAAAGTATGTGACAATCACAAATAAAACAGGAAACTGACAAGCTGCTTATCAGGAGACTTAAATAACCTCCATTAACGATTGTAAACAAAGTTATACGTTTTGGACACCCCTGCACCTGCCAGCAAAGACCCATACCGAAACATAGCAGTCTGGAAAGATCGTCTGCAAGAGGCCTTCTTGACGACCGGGTTTTAAATGCAGCTACTTCTACAGAATTTTATGGATTCCCAGTGTGATGGTAAACATATTAAACGTCAGGCAAGAAAGGCTTGTTACACAGAGTGTTCCAATTTCTGCATACAAGAAAAACATGGGGTTTGAGAAACAGATAACCCTCATTAATGTTTAGCAGATTTATCCTGCCCAATGACCAAATTATTCCTAATGAACCTTTTCAGTACAACTCCACACACTATGATGAACCAGACAAGTCTTAAGACGAGGTAGATAAACATTCGCCAAACATTAGAAGTAATCAAAGGACGCTTCTCTTCAGTCTCTGCGGAACATCTCAGGCAGAGCAGCTGATACACTATTTGAATCTCTATAAGAAATCAATGATAGGAATGATTGCATATTCTCTGCTTAAGTTTACCCAAGAAATTGCAGCACTTTGGTCATATTTATAAACCCCAGAACCATATTAAGGGGAGTAGCACAGATACAATAAGCAAAAGCCGTGTATAGCAGAGGCACGGTGTACAAACAATCCATCTTGCACATACAGTCCACTTTCTGCAAAACAATTCCATCCATAACTTGCAACTTTAATCAGAACAGATTTTCAAAGCAAAGATCAGCTAATCTTACCTTGAAAACCTCTGGGCCGTGTGGGGGGTTGGTGGCACAGGGAACCCTTCTGACAAGCTTCCTGCTGCCAGAGGGAACAGCCCAGCGATCCACACTCATCGGTTTCCCGGAAGTAACTTCACGCATGTGCAATAGCGCACCCGGAACTTCGATGAAACGCACCACCACGCAGGAGTGTGTTCCTCTGCTGTGCACAGACGCACAGCCTGCAACATAATGAAGGCATTCCCTGGCCCACCCATACTCACCAAGCCGGAACATACTCTGCTCAAAGTTAAAAAGAAAGGGCTCCGGAACCTCCACGGATGGAGCCATGCGGCTCAGCCTACCACCCGGGCGGCTATCTGGCTTCCTCCCCCAGACAGCAACCTGTGTGCCTCACCTTCAACAGACGCTTGATCAGTCCCGTGCTGGGACAAGAAAGAACTGGAGGTGGGTTTGCTGGGAATGCCCTTTATAGGGTAAAGGAGGGACTTTTCTTAATCACCTATCTTGCAGATGCTTGTGCCAATTAGGAAGCACAACACATACGTACTGCCTCAATATGTCAGAAAAAAAATTAACTTAAAATTTTAAGCCTGAATAAATGAATTGGAAAAATAATCCCTTTCCAATTTGGATATTTTGGCCTAAATTTACAGGTACCTCTAGTCCCCAACAAAGAAAGAAAATACCTAACTATACTAAACAGGGGACAAGAGGCCTAAAGCAAAAGCACCAACTCTTACCTTCTTAGGCCTCTGGGTGGAGGGCTGATGAGAGTTCATGTACAGAGCTGAACAGCACCTGGCTGACAGGTAGTTGTGGATGGGCTTAAGTTGTCCCATGGACTTTCGGTATGAATTTAGCCTTAAAGCGCTAAGATTGCGCATCCATGTAGGTGGAATGCAACCCAATCAGTACGTGTGTTCCACCTGAAGGACCTCCCAAAAAGGCGCTTGTGTGCACTCACTACTTCAGGCACCAACTGAGTGGAAGTAATAAGAGCATGGGACACAAAGGGATGAGCCAGGCCGACATGCAGAGCTGCTCTCCAGCCAAGCAAAGCCCTTCCCGACCGCAGTCGCCTGGAAAATAAATGAGAGTCCTACCTAATCCATTGCTTCTCAAAAGGGAGCAATGGATTTTAGATATGCATGCAGTGCAAAATGCTGCATTCCTTTAATAAAATCATCAGCAATTGATTGCAGAACCAATGTTTAACTTCCTTCTGGAAGAGAAAGCGCCTCCAGTGGCAGTCTTTCTACAAAATGGCAATGTTTTTAAATTGCAAGGTTATAGTGTTCCTTTAATATGTACTTTGACTGATCAACAATTCACACTGGTGAATACCCTGGTACTGTCTCAGATGTATGGTATACCATTTATTGTATTTTGTTTTTATCTATAAAATGTTGTATTTTCAGCAATATAAATATATTAGAATCAGGCCGGTGATGGCAAGTGTGCTGCAAACATGACAGCTACCGTACACATGATAAGTGCTGCTGCTAGAAATACACTTGCTGAACGCAACAGCATCTCTGTCAAACAACAGCAGATTGTCTCAATTGCGGTGAATACAGCAACTTTCTTACCTATTGCCTTTTCTCCTATTTGCAGTTGCGAATGCAAAACCTATGTCACATAATATTGAGTAGCTTGTCACTTAATAGCAGCTGCTGGATATCTCTGCCACATTATGATGACATTCATACCAGGACATTAACACAGTGACAACACATTGCTTCTAGAATTAAATTCTGCAGGTTTTCTTCTTACTCACGGCCTTTCCTTGCACACTGACCACTTGCTGGTTGTGACCAGTCATGACTTGTGAGACTCTTGGGTAGCCCATGTGACTCTACTTGAGAAAGTATTTTTGTTTTGTATTGAACAAACACTCAGAACTGACTTTTATAAAACAATGTAAAAAAAAATAATAAAAAAATTATCACTGCAATTTGGGGTGCCATAGCTGAGCAGGTGTATATTATCAAGAGAAATGTAGCAATTAGCAACCAAGCTAAATGCAGTTTAGAAATAAGCATGCTGTGTGTGAGTAATGTAGGCGAGTTGCTGCAGTACCAATATAAATTATACCTCCCTTGTAGGCCTTAGAACCCAATTCTTTTTTTCCTGTCCACACCCCCTAGGACAGTATTTTCTCTCTGTACATTTTTTTTTTTTTTTTAAGTTCTTGCAGAACTCCTTTAAGCCTGGGGGTACATGCTGCTGTAACCCTTGGGTAGCAGCTAGAGCTTAAATGAGCACTATAGGGTCAGGAACACAAACATGTATTCCTGACCCTATAGTGTTAAAACCACCATTTAGCCCCCCCCCCGAGCCCTTCATGCCTCCCTAAAAATATCAAAATCTTACTTGTATTCAAGCCTGAAGCTGTAGCTCTGCATGCGGTTTGTCTCAGACTAGCAAGCTGTCTGCTGACATCAGAAGTGGTAGCCTGATCAAATCACAATGCTTCCCCCGTAGGATTGGCTGAGACTGTCAAGGAGACAGACCAGGGTCAGAGCCAGGATATTCAAACACAGCCCTGGCCAATCAGCATCTCCTCATAGAGATGAATTGAATCAATGAATCACTATGAGGAACGTTCAGTGTTTGCATGCAGAGGGAGGAGACACCAAATGTTTGGATGCATTTCAGGCAACCATGACCCAGCAAGGGTCTCTGACAGCTATCCGAGGAGTGGCCAGTGAAGTTATCACTAGGCTGTAATATAAACACTGCAATTTCTCTGAAAAAGAAAGTGTTTACAGCAAAAAGCCTGAAGGTAATGATTCTACTCACCAGAACAAATTTAATAAGCTGTAGTTGTTTTGGTGACTATAGTGTCCCTTTAAGTTCAAGTGTTAATCCTTCTTGGGTACCTGGTTGCCTGGAGAAAAACAGCTCTTGTATGGATGTTGGGATGCCTTGCTAATGATAAATGCCCCTTGTCAAGTTCATCGTATACATGGTATCGGTGTATTGCATTGAATTAAATTAAAAACATGGTTAAAAATAAATAAGTAACCCTGAAAATAATTTATGCCCGATTTTAATGAAGTAGTTTGCATACATGGTATGACATGATTAGCTTTCTGGATTAAAATGAATTTTTTTTTCCTATAAATAGCTTATTTCAAGAGAAAGAAATAAGTTGGGAATATCGAAAGCATCGTCAGTACAATGTAAGGCAATGGACGGGCTGAAATATATATATATAGTCTTTAACAAATAATATGCCCCAATGGTTTAAAACAGAAGGTATGACCTGGAGGACAGACTATGACCTGCAGCACTGATGAGGAGGGTAAAAAAAAAATATGAACCAGTTTCCATTAAAAGGGCACTAAAGTAACAGGCTTTTGGAGTTATGAAACAAGATCTAGCTGACAGATTTGTATTTGATCCAAAGATTCGCTCCTCTAACATCAAAGGTTGGTTCATTTCTATAAATGTGGTATCCAAGCTCCTCCAATGGTGGCTCTGGATCGGTGGTTGCAAACTGTGCTGCTTCTTCAATTTCCTTCCGTACTTCAACATCAATCTCCTATGAGACAGTATAGTGGAGGGAAACATCTGGTTACTAAAAGTGACAAGTTCTTTAATGTTATTAATCAAGCTGTGTCTACCCAATTCAAACATAACTAGCTCTTTCCACAGAGTTTCTTTCAGCAAGAAGTATCACTTTCATCTATAAAAGTTTGCTTATACTAATATAGGCAGGGCAAGCAGTGGGAGCTAGACATTTACAGGAGGGAACCCAGGTGCTCGTAGTATGTGTAAACTAGAACTGTGACGGTATCTTCTGTAGAGGGCAAAAACAAAAGCATGCGGAGGCAAGAAGCACTAGGTAATACACAGATGGTATAAACACATTGGAAGTATTTGTGGATGGAGGGAATGGGGTACACATGTGTAAAGGCTACTAATAGCAAAGTACTTTCAATTTCTAGAAACAGGGAACAAAGAAGGAGTTGGAACTATCAAGTGTAATTTAAGATATAAAAACAATTAAACAGTGAGCATGATAGCAAAAGTGTGCATTACAGTTGTTATAGACTGGAGACTTTTGTTAAACAGGTAGCGTTACCTTTAATTCTTCCACATTAGATAGATTGTTATTTAACATTCTGTCCTTAAGGAGGGTGATTGGATCACTTTTACTTCTTACTTCCTGAATCTCTTCTCGTGTGCGGTAGCTGGAATTAAACAAAAACGGGACAGTCTGTCATGATCACAAACAAGGGACGATAAACCATGTTCAACTTAAGTCTACTACAGCACTACATCATCCCCACTAACAATTTTTTGTTTACCCAGAGACTGATGATTTAGTGATTCTGTACCCACTTTGTATGTTTATTTAGATATTCAAGTATCTTTTTCATGGTGAAAGTATAAGCTACAAACGGATAACTACCTAACTCCTGGATCACTCATACTGTGCCCATGATATCGGTAAGTCTGAAGTTCCATTAAAATAGGACCCTGAAAGAAAGGAAAGAGGTGGGGAAAAAAAATTAGATATTGTAAAGTGTACTCAAAATAATGTTTAATCAAATATTTCAGATTTACAACCACTAGTCCCTTTTTAAAGTTAATATTTTTTCCATGATACAATTCTTTTCCTACTTATGCCAGAGTATTTTTTCCATATCTTGTTTCAGTGATTCTGTAAATATAGCAACCAATTTATCTCCACATTAAAAAAAAAAGAAGAAAAAAAAAAAGAAGTTCTCTCTCCTCGAATGCAGATTCTTAAAGGAACAAATATGTATTCACAACGATATAGCATTGTACTCCCTATTTAGATTCGGGGATCCCTAAATAAAAAAAAAATAAATAAAAGATTTTTTTTTTTTTTTAAATTCTAAAATTATTTCTTACCCAAAGCCAAGACTTTCTCCGTGCAGGTACCCGATCAATCTCCTGTGACCTATTTCTGGAGGCTTTCTCCGCTATGTCTTTTAATGGGGAAGCATTAGAAAACGTACAACGTCCCCAAGCAATGTGTGAGAACGCCCATAACAGAGTCTGTTATGGCAGCAGAAGCACCCTCTAGTGGCGGACAGGAAAGGCAGCCACTACAGTGGTGTTCAGCTCTGTAATATAAACACTGCCATATCTACAAGGGCAATGTTTTATACCACAGAACTTAAAATGACAGGGCCACTGTATGCAGACCACTTAATTGAGCTGAAGTGGCATTATATGACTGCATAGTTTGATTTTACAGACAAAAGAGAGGCGATGCCATGTTACATAGGGATTGCGGAAAAGGTGGGCTCTTTTAGGAACACTCCAGACCTCTAAATCACTAAAACTTGCTGAAATGCTTTCTGTGTTAAAGAGTGTGTCCTCTATCATTTTGCAAAAAGTGAAAATTTCAAAAGAAAATCGTCACTTTTATAAATTAACCATGTCACACCGCCCTGGCTTTCAAACTGACAGCAGTTCCTGTTCTTTCCTGGTTTGGTTAGCTCAATGGAGCTAAACTCACAAGGCAGCAATTGATCAGAGCAACTACCTTGCAAAGATTTCTCATTGAGCTGCATTAGGAAGTCTAAGACAATGGAACTGCATGTTTTGCATGCTGTTTTTACATTTCCCCAATGAAAAAAATGCATAATTTAATGCATGCAAGTTTTTATTTGGGGTATATCTACTAAACATTGATTTTTATTTTGTGTTTGGCCCGTGGAGTGTTCCTTTAAATACTGGATGTCGACTTGCTGAGCCTTCAGAAAAACTTTCTGCAAAATCTGGAAAAATCAGCAGTAAAATAAACATTTTATTACATAAGTATCCCTATAAAATGTTTGCAAACACTATTTACTTCTAAATTTACACTGCCACTAAAGTACCCATGGTATACATACACTTTAGCTTAAGACCCTAGGACAATAAAGACCCCACCACGCAAAAACAAAACCCACAAACAAACAACAGTGTACCTTTCCAGATCTACAATGATCAGCTGCAAACTTTGTAGCTTCTCTGACACATAGAACATCCATGCCATCAACCTGGGAAAGAAAGGGTAACAATATATATATTTTTTTTTTTATAAACACAGGGATGTTGTCCATCATTGCACATGAATAAATCAAGACTGGATTTGTTTTGGAATAGCTACCAAGTTTCACATGAAGATTACAATTTGAAGACAACGGAGGTGTTGTGTCTTCTTTTAGATTTACGCTAAATGTGATTATGAGCTCAACATTATTATGAAGAATTAGGCACCCTGTAGCTTTTGTGCAGAAAGCACACATTAACTTCACTCACCCTCAGCCCTGGGATGTAGTCTCCACGTTTAAAATAGTCTGTGCTGGCTGCAGCCCTCTCCACGGATGTACCCATACCATATCGGTTATTTTCACAGATAAAGATACAAGGGAGCTTCCACAGAGCAGCCATATTGTAAGTTTCAAAAATCTGACCCTGTAAATAAAATCAGGATGTCAGATAAAAACCACAAGCAAAACATTTACCATTGATAAATGAATAACTTAAAAAAAAATAAAAAAAAAGCAAAAAAAAACAACATCTGTCCATTTATGGCACCATAAAGGAGGTATAGCAGTAATATGAAATCCTTTGCCAATGCTTGTATTTACAGCAAGTATTGTGGACTAGCATTAGGTCACATGCCTGCAAACATTTAAAAGCATTAAATTAATTTAAACCACTAACATAAGGCAGGTGTATGATTTAGTATATTATATATATATATATATATATATATATATATATACACACACACACACACACACACACACACACACACACACACAGTCCTTATTACGAAGAGATAAATCCACTGTGTCCTAGAGTTTGGGTTCTCCCATTATATACTCAAAAACAATGGTGTGCTGATGGGCCAGTAATGCAGTCCCCATAGCAAATAAGAGAAGTTAGAAGATGTGAACCCATACCAAGTTCATATTTTTTTGGGGGGGAGGGGGTAGGGGGAGGTTCACTTTTTTTTTAATGGATCAGAAGGTTTTAGAACTTACCATTGTATATGAACATAGAGAAAAATAATTGACAAAAGATTATAGCTTATGAAATGCTGTAGGTCTTTGTAATATGGGCTCAGGTGAGACCTTGGAACACTGTGTAAAAAAAAAAATTCCATCGGCAAAATATGAACAGCTGATCAGCGTTTCTAACCTGAGGTAATGTGTCTTGGGCAATATGAAATATCAAAACTGGTACTGACATAAAAAAATGGTTTTGGATCTGCCGAATGCTGGAAAATCAGATAGGCCACTGATAACAGAAACAATTATGATATGCATGTATTATATTGTGATAAGCACACATAACATAAAAGTGTAACATTTGAAATGCTGACCTGATTAGCAGCACCATCACCATATAGAGCCAAACAAATCTCATCCTTCCCAAAATACTTGCAGGCTAAGGCAATACCTGCTCCAAGGGGTACCTGGAATGTAAAGACATAAATTGGGAAAAGAAAAAAAAAAAATGACTGCACAATGAAACAGTAACAAGCTGGAATTTATGGCTGTTACTGAAATGTGCTTTAGAAATTTGTTCACTGGGCTTTTGACACTTTGCCCATAATTGCCAAATTAAACTGTTAGATTAATAACTTTTTTCTTTTTTTTTTTTTAAATATCTAAAAGTATTTGTACATTACAATTTGTAAGGTTATGAAGTCAATAGAAAATTAGGGTAGAGTTGCCATTAGAGGGCGTACATACTCAACCATATTAGTTAATTCCATATTAATAAACTGCACCAGAACGTATTTGACGTAGGTTTTCATCTGGTGCAAATCTATGAAACTATAATCACTATAGACCAAGACACAAACCGTATAAACTATAATCACTCTGGAACACAACACAAACAGTATATACCTGAGCTCCCACAATACCATTTCCACCATAGAAGTTCTTTGCATACATGTGCATAGATCCTCCTTTGCCTTTTGCACAGCCACCTTTTCTACCTATCAAAGGAACAAAAAAGACCAAAAGTGGAAACCTGCAACAAATGCTGAAAAACATGTGCATTAGAATGTACTATCCAAAAAAAAAAGTGTGTGGTTTAAAACCCTCCCAACAATACTGCAAAGCAGATACGACTATAAGAATGCGTGAAATGGATTTGTGTTGGTGTATGTGGAAGATATTGCATTACTTCTTGTTTTCATATGTATATATTTTGTTCCATGAAACAGATCATTACTGCACCAATTTAATTCAGTAGTTCAGAAAAAAAACTTGCGTTCAGGGCGGACACAATTATGTGATGCCACATCCAAAAATAGTTAAGTGAGACCATAGTGTACCTGTGAGTTCAGCTAGGATCTCTTTCACGGACACTCCACGGGTGTAGGTGTATCCATGCGCTCTATAAGCGGTAATTAGGTGGTCAGTAGGGTTTATTGAAGCTTCCATACCAACACAACAGGCTTCCTGTAAAAACAAGTCACGTTTATGCACTATCATTCGACAAAATCAATGTAGGACGCTTGCACAAACGGTAATCAACAAATTTACATCTGTAATACTTTGTAACTGAACCAGCTAGTATATTAATCAAAAGTACTGGCAGGCTCCTTAATCCTATTCAATTCCATCAACTCACCTGACCGTCATAAAGATGGCAGAACCCTCTGATAATTTTCTGCTTATAAAGCTGATCTGACTTTAGCTCCATTCGCCGGATGGTTTGCATGGTTCTGTAATACTGCAGGCCCTGCTCCCGTGTAAGAACAGCTTGTGTTGGAGGAGCCTCATCCAAACGATGTACATCACATTTCTAGCAAGGGAATGGATATTAGAAAAGAAAAAAAAAAGACACAAACTTATCAGTGCCACATTCCTGCAAAAACAGCCCCATAATTGAGCATTCTGAGACTCCGGTAAGTCCGGCCGATAGATGGAGGGGTCTATATTATGGAAAGGTAATTTAAAAAGTTGAAATGCTGTGAGTGTTAATTTGGTCATATTGTAATAAAGTTTTGAGGAAGTAAAGAGACAAACATGATATCACACTATTACCTTCACAAACATTACAAACCCAATTTTGTGTTTGTAAAACTTGATTTGTGATGCTCTTGTGGCCAGATCATGTGGAATGTGAGGGTGATTCACAGCTAACAAATTACAATATTTACAATGCATGATCAAAAAGGCAATTCGTGGTCTTTATACGGTACGGTTAGGTTTTAGCATATATAGCCATTCTTTCAGAATTGCATGCACTTTAAATCTTGGCAAAAAAATACCTTGAAAGATGGTGACAAGTGCTACCTTAACCCCTTTGTGACAGACATAACTATCACAACTACCTCCCCACACCAAGCATGAGACAACCAGCATTAATGTTATGAACTGGAACATAGTGGCCGACTGTTTCAGCTCTCCAACACCCGTAAGATCCTGCTAGTAGGCTGCAAAATAAATATTTGAGTGAAAGAATGCTTGGCACAAATTTTACACTGCTCTGTTTCAAGATAGCCCTAGACAACCAGCCTGATTTAGAAGAGGGAACAAACCTGGTCCAAGCAGAACACCCCTCTAAAGTCACACATCAAATCAATGTGGCTGCACTCTCAAAAGTAGCAGATGCAAAACAAGAGGCACAATAAAATCTAGTAGAGCAGGCATGATATCCTAGAAGAAATGTATCCAATTTGTAATTTTCATTTTTCCAGAATACCAGAAAACCCATAGAAAAGGAGTAAGGGTGTTGCCAATAGCACACAGTATATACTCTTTAAGTATGCAGGTATGGGAAGTTGCCAGTTGTAAATCTACGATGATATATGTAACTTGATGGCTGGCTTCTCCGGTATAAGATCTTGCTTACCTTGATGTCAAATGTAGCTTCTGATGCGAAGTCTGCATAGTTACGTGATGCCACCATAACACGAACGGCCTTTAAAGAAACACAAAAATTAAACCGTATAGTAACTAACTTGATATATATGCAATTTTGCCGTGTAACAGGCAAGAAGGGGAATTTAGGATTTTTGCAACACAAAACTGAATTATTTGGTGTGATACGACAGACAATTTACATTACACTAATCTTTAACAGTGTTATTAACTAAAGTGAGAATTCAAAGTTAATTCAGTACATTTTAAATTTAAGATCAAAACCACCAAAGTGAAAGCTGACTGACAGAATTTGTTCAGTTCTTGTCCTTAAATTCAAAATTCACTTTGAATTCTCATTTTAGTGAATAACCCTGTTGGAGATTTCAAGGGACAATATATACATAAAAACAACTTTATCTTAATGAAGCAGTTGTGGTACATAAGTCATGCCCCTGCAGTCTCACTGCTCAATTCTCTGCCAATTAAGAGTCAAATCACTTTGTTTATGCAGCCCCAAGATATTTATTGTTTAAACTTCCTTTATTGCATAATATGTTTAATTTAGAATTTCTTATTTCCTGCTCTGTTAATGGCACGATAGAGCCTACAGGAGCCTCCTGTGTGTAATTTCAAGTTTAATTTACATATAAATACACGAGTAAAGTAAGTTAAGCTCTGATTGAAAATTTAAAAAAAAACAAAAAAAAAAAAAACATTAAACGCAGACTGTGCCACTCAAAGTCAATGGAGGTATGGCTAGAGCAGCATAGACAAAACAAAGTGCTTTAACTCCTAAATGGCAGAACATTTAGCAGTCAGACTGCAGAAGCATGATCTATACACCAAAACTGCTTAATGAAGCTAAAGTTGTCTTTAGTTGTCTATGCCTATAGTATCCCTTTAACATACAAGGGAGAAGACATTTGTTTAAATATAGACCGGTCATCTACATGAGAAAATGAAGGATCCTGCTTGAAGTGTGCTTGTATTTAAGAATATTAATTCATGTAATGCAATGTGGTGACATAATCTGTGCATTATTCTACGTATTGCACAATCTGACTGTCACAATTCATAGTAGGGACTAATCACATGGCAGCAGTTGATATTTGCAGCTGCTATTTAATGACAATGTAGGAAAAGGTCTGAGTAAACATTAACATTGCTCCTCAGCTCTTTTCCTATATGTCACTTAAGGAACACTCCAAGCATCATAACCACTACAGTGAACTGTAGTTGTTATGGTGCCAGGAGTGCCATGGCATCCCAAGCAATGCAATTAGTCAAACCATTTTTAAAAACAGTTTGACTTCTTACCTGGGGTGTTCCAGGCACCATTCCCTTAGTCTTCTGGAGTCTGAAACGCTGTCTGAGCTATGCCTGGTGGTGCCGAGCTTCAGTGCATATGCTGAAAATAACCTGATGCTCTCAGCCAATAGGTGGGGGCACAGGTGACATCAGAGCCCAGCGTGCACTGTAATGGTTATGGATCTCATTTAAATGGACACTATGGTATCCATAACAAGATGTTCATGTGTCTATAGTATGTCCCAGCACGATTTTAAATGTAAGCACTGCCTTTTGCAGTGATGATTCAATGCATCTCTATGAGGAGATGCTATTTGGCACAGCGCAGAGTTTTGCAGCACATAAATAGCCTCCCACTGCTTATTTACTATGGGAAATCATTGGATTGGACAAAGAATGCCAAATTTGATGATCTCAGTCATGGAAGTGGAGAGAGCAAGTGAGACCGGCGCAGCGCTGGGAAAAAGGGTAAGAAAAAAAATGTAATGTAAAGAGAGGGGGTCTGGGAAGCTAAACTATTATTTTAGCACTTTAGTGTCTGTTATACGTTTGTGTTTATTTAAGTGTTTAATATATTTTATGCTACATAAGTATATTACGCTAAGAGTTGCTTTCCCTTTAATTATTGGGCAGCATCAAGACATACACGTCTCTGTCTTCCCAAGATTGGTGGGAGTTATACTGCCATAACTAATTTATCTTCCTTACTAATATAGATATACCAGCAGAGATGCTTGGGAGACAAGTTTGCTGTTTCTGTGTCTTCAGATTTACACACCTTCAGCTGTTCAGAATGAACAAATCAACAAAAACTATTGAAACAGCTCAACACAAGGAATGCTTCAAATGGCTTCTGTAAATGTTGACAATAAACCTGATTTTGAATAATTTTGATTACAACAGTATGATGTGGTTACATCTTATGGCACATGCATGGCACAGCCCCCCTGACATGTATGTAGCTTTAGTTTTTTCATCGCCTAGCACATGGAGGCAAATAAATACAATGCTCAGCCAACTTTTGGAGATCATGTCCATGCATCTTTTTTTTTTTTTTTTTTTGCAAAACAGATGTATTGTGTCTAAAATCATATTTCCAACAGAGGAAAATTAAATTATGAGGTATGCATGATAGAAGTATGAATTACAGAGCAAGATCAATACAAAGCCCCAACTTACCTCAGCAGTAGCCCCCTATACCATCCACAAGCCCAGCACATACAAAAAAAAAAAGAAAATATATTAAGTAATTGCTTAAAAGAGCAGTTTGTGACTAACTCACTTTAAGATACTGTCCAGGAGTTTTAGATGATCCCTCTTGGATTTGTTCAGATGTGATGGACTGACAATCTTAAATCGCAAACTTCAAAAATAGCAGAAGAAATACAGGGGGGAGGGAGTCAGGTGTATATATATATATTTATATTTTTTTTAATCTCTCTCTACTGGACTAATATGACAAATATATATATAGTAGATTGGATTAGCCGTATTAGTCCAGTAGACAAGATGCCAAAATACCAGAGTATTGCAGTATGCAATACCTTTTCTTTGAAATTTCAAAGCTTGTCTTTGAAATATTATGTTAGTCCAAAAAAAATAAAAAATATCATTGCATTCCAGCAATACTCTGGTAAATACCAAATACTCTGGTATTTAGGTCTCTCAATCACAAAATATATATATATATATACATACACACACACACACACACCTCCCAAAAAAACAAGCAAAAAAAAAAACCCCAACTTATTCTCTGGCTAATGACAGTTCTGAGCATAGATGGCATCTGTAGTATGCTGGTGGTAGGACAGCCAATGGTTCAAAAGACCCCCTCCCTCTGTGATGCCCATGTCCTCCCTGACATCAGCAGAAGAGAATCAGTAAAAGGGAGAACTTAGCCTCAGCACTGGAACCAAGGTAAGTTTTAGCTATTTTCTCTTTATGTGACGGGGGAGAGCGGAGAGTTGCAGGATAGGAGGGTTACTCTGAGCAAAACCAGTGTTTTCTAGTGTTCTACACATCTTACAACCTGTTATCTGCATCCAAATTCTGACTAAACTGGATAATGTGACTGTGAAACATCTGCATTATCTCAGTAGAAGCAGAGGTGCTGCTTTTGGGTTCCAGGGAGAAAATGGGAGGTATGACACACAGACTCCTTCCAACCTTTACAGTACAATAAACCATACTGACTACAGTGCTCAGAGTGTCCCTTTAACACAATGGAAAACCTGTCAAGTGTGTTTAAGCTTTTTAAAGTGACTCTAGCATGAGATGGCCTGAAGGAGTTTAACTCAATGCTTTGCTAACAATTCAGACAGTTTAAGGTCTATAGAAAGAAACTGTCACATAGCAAGTTTTTAACAATTAGGGACATCTTGAACAACTAAAATATATACATTGTAACAGAAATGCAAGGAAATTGCTGACATTTTATGCATATCACACCTGTTACAGCAAAGAACAGGACCATCATACATTGTATATACCCATTACTTTTCAATAGATTTTGTAGTGTTCCAAGGCTTCTTTACAAGAAGCATTATTGGTTTGGCCTCTGATCATCCACCAGGAAAAAGAGCGGATGCCGCGCTGAGACCAGGTCGGCGCAAGATAAGTGGTGAACCTTTATTTTTATGCACAAGAACACCAACATTATAAAATAAATATGCTGCCAACATTGAAGTGTTCCTTAAAAGTGTATCTGTAAACCACAAACTGTGTTTAGAATGATGTGAGCTTAAAGCAGGTATTAAAAGAAAAAAGAAAGTAATTTTTTTATGTAGTACTAGCTAATTTACTGGCAGAAGTACAAAGATACAAGACATTTTCTAATGCCTGCTCCCACGTCGGTGGATGAGAACAGAAAAATATATTTCTAGCAGTTTGACTATCAAAATGTATAGACCGCAACCTTCTCTATAAAGTGAAAGTAGTACTGTCTCCCATAAAATGCATATATGACCGGCTTTGGTTAAGTATTAAGCTAGCACAACATTTTAATACAACTTTACTACTGAAAATTGAATCATAAAGCATATTTATATAAAGGATTATGATTAAATTACTCATAAAGGGTTCGGTTTAGCACCAATGAAAACACTGGGAATGCTGAAATTGGCTGAGATTTTGCAAACCATTCCTCGTCTTTTTTTTCCCTAGTTTGTTGCAAAATTGAAAGTGCTTCAAACTGTTTTTTCTTTTTGCCTTCTTTTGGATCAACAGCAAAAACAAATGTGAGGAAGGCTGAACTTGATGGACACAGGTCTCTTTTCAGCCTATGTAACTACAATGGTGTATGTATTTAAAATGTAGACATTTTGCATTTTTGCTGCATCAGTTAACGCAATGTAATCCAGCCTGAGGTACTTTAAAGACATTAAAACGTAACTAAACTTTTAATTTTTTAAAATTTTTTATATCAGTTAAATTTTTGTTACATTGTCCTGATCGTACTGGTGGACAAACAAATCCTGCAAAACACTTAGAGGGTTACTCCAAGCATCGTGACCACCCCAGTGATTTGAGGTGGTCATGGAGCCAGCAGTTTGTACGGGCAGCATTTCACTGTAAAACGCAACAGATGAGGAGATTAAGCCCTGTACTGCTCATGGTGACCTCACATCTGGCAGTGTCACCGAGATGTGAAGTGTTCCAGGTTGGCTACTGTGAATCCTGTGTTAATCTGGAGTTTGACACCAGCACGCACAGTATGCTCCCCCCCCCCACCATGCTCGGGGGAATTCAGTCAGCAAAGGAAAACTGGGCTGCAGAGAACTTGGCCTCACTGCTTAAACAGGGGTCAGTTTTACCTATTTTGTGATCTTAAAACAATGTTTTGTGGTTGGAGTAACACTTTACTTATTTCTATATTTCCTACAACGCCAGAGAACAGATCATCAGCTTGGTAATTTCTGCTTATAATCAATAGAAACAATAGAACACAGGTTTCCTCTGCATCAGATTTATTTAGAAGGTTATGAAAACAGGACGTGTAACACCACCTCAGGCTGCATCACTGGAGCATCATTAGCCAGCACAGATAGAGAGTTCCAGGTTCCTAACATGAATACTGTGCACAATTGCTGGCTGACACCAGAATGCTGACGCTTGACAGCCAATGGCAGTAGAATGCTCCCCCCACCAATCTCCTTCTAGCTCTTCCTCCCTTACATTCCTCCCTCTCCGCTGGGAGAAGGAGAACTAGGCATTGGTGCTGGAATGGATGCGCATACAAGGGAAGCGCTAGGCTTGTATTATTTATTCAATGAATTCCTATGGCAGCTCAGTCTTGTGGCAGTTTTATTCAGTTACTGAATTAGGAAGTGCCTCTAATGGCTGACAGCCACTGGAGGTGTATTTAACCCTGCAATGTATAAATTATAATAAACTTCACATTACACAGTTACACCTACAGGACCACAGAACCTTTTAGTGGTCCTTCAAGCAAAAGTATAAAGATAAGTTGGAAAAAGCAAAAGAAAAAAAAAGCAAGCAATAAAACTGTTTTCTCTTTTTTAAACTCTAAATTTAGCAAATAAACAAAAACAAATTAAAGGGACACTACTGGCACCCAGACCACTTCAGTTCAGTTAAGAGGGAGGGGTCATTGTAGGTCATGATAGTGCTAGGAAAACAACTTTGTTTCCCTACCACTATAGTATCCATTTAATAGAACAGTTCACCTGGAAATTTTAGAGAATTTTTCCAGCTTAGTTATGATCCTGATATCAGAATGTAATTTCCAATTCATGTGTATGGCATGCACTATTATAGGGATTATATTTATGTACCCACCATGTCCCTGTCAACCTCCCAGCCTCCCATACCCACCATGTCCCTGGCAGTCCCCCAGCCTCCCATACCCACCATGTCCCTGGCAGTCCCCATACCCCCCCATGTCCCTGGCAGTCCCCATACCCCCCCATGTCCCTGGCAGTCCCCATACCCCCCCATGTCCCTGGCAGTCCCCATACCCCCCCATGTCCCTGTCAGTCTCCCAGCCTCCCATACCCACCATGTCCCTGTCAGTCTCCCAGCCTCCCATACCCCCCATGTCCCTGCCATTCCCCCATCCTCCCATACCCACCATATCCCTGGCAGTCCCCCAGCCTCCCATACCGCCATGTCCCTGGCAGTCCCCCAGCCTCCCATACCCACCATGTCCCTGTCAGTCTCCCAGCCTCCCATACCACCAATGTCCCTGCCATTCCTCCATCCTCCCATACCCACCATGTCCCTGGCAGTCCCCATACCCCCCATGTCCCTGACAGTCTCCCAGCCTCCCATACCCCCCATGTCCCTGTCAGTCCCCCATACCCCCCATGTCCCTGGCAGTCCCAGTCAGTCTCCCATACCCAGCATGTCCTTCCCTCCCAGCCATACAGTGCGCTATACTCACGGTGACAGGTTTGTGGGCCGGGCCCTGCAGCACACGGGACAGGAGGGATAGCATTTTTTGCATGTGCGGCCGGCGGGTCACTGTGTTCGCTGGGATGTAATGACACTGACGACCTCCAATCCGATAGGCAGCTGCTAACCTTCCAGGGCCCTACACCGCATCAAGGCGCCTCCTGTACACGTCACAGCCGCGCCTACCCCCGACCTGTACTGGCGGCACAGCGTAGAGTTCGATACACAAGAGACACAACGCGCGTCACCAATATGTCTTCCTTCCTGATTACTATTACCGAAACATCAAGGGGAATCCGGCTCCGGGAAAATGGCCGCCTTACATAATTCACCAGAGAGAGTGTCCTCGATGCCCTGTGTTTATATCTCGCTGCTGGAGAATCCGTTCTTCCCACAAGCTGCTGGGTGTGATTATTTCTGTGTGTGTTGTGGGATCTTCCAAACAATTGGTGTCCTGTGTGTTAGAGTAACCATTGATAGAGCCGCCATGCTTCCCTGCACTCACATGGAACTGAGTATATATTAATAAACAGATACTGTATCAAACTAACTAACTAACTAACTGGGTAAAGCGGACACTCCTCTCTGATTCATGAACTGAGCCAGTGCAGCACACACATTCTTCATAGCTAGGGTTAAAAGATCCACCATATTGCCTGTGTACCTGCCAACAGCCCTGGATCCTGCCGGGCAGTCCCTATTTGGAGCTGTTCTCCCACTACACTACTAGGTTTATTAAAGGACCACTCTAGGCACCCAGACCACTTCAGCTTAATGAAGTGGTCTGGGTGCCTGGTCCAGCTAGGGTTAACCCATTTTTTCATAAACATAGCAGTTTCAGAGAAACTGCTATGTTTATTAATGGGTTAAGCCTTCCCCCATTCCCTCTAGCGGCTGTGTCATTGACAGCCACTAGAGGCGCTTGCGTGCTTCTCACTGTGATTTTCACAGTGAGAGCACGCCAGCGTCCATAGGAAAGCATTGTGAATGCTTTCCTATGTGACCGGCTGAATGCGTGCGTAGCTCTTGCCTCGCGTGCGCATTCAGCCGACGGGGAGGAGAAGAGGAGGATCGGAGGAGGAGAGCTCTCCGCCCAGCGCTGGAAAAAGGTGAGTTTTACCCCTTTCCAGAGCCAGGCGGGAGGGGGACCCTGAGGGTGGGGGCACCCTCAGGGCACTATAGTGCCAGGAAAACGAGTATGTTTTCCTGGCACTATAGTGGTCCTTTAATAGTAGGTACGGGGTGCGTATAGGAATCGATTGGGTTTGCACTTTGCCAGCAGTTCTGTGCCCCCAATACATATAGCCTCTCCTTTTTAAGAGCACCAACTAGGAACAACAACTATGGTTACCAGATTCAATATTATAATAATAATAATAACATGGTGTTTAACCTGGAAAGGTACATTCAGATTACTCTGATTTTCAAGTACGTCCTGGCGATGTTACCTTAGCCCAACATCCAGGGGTTGTGTTAACAATACTCTTATAGTTTTGGGGTAAAGACAGTCTTCCCTAGAAATAATAATAATTGAATACCAGCTAAGCAAAATACATTCCCTATGATCCCCACTCAAGAATATAGATGTAGTAGGTGTCCAGAAGGAGACCTGCTACACCTAAATCCTTGAGTAGGGATCATACCACTTCACGCTATTTTGGAGCCAATTTTAGGGCTCCATTACATACATATAAGTGCGCATTGGGACTGGGCTGACAGCCCTAATCATTGTTCAGGCTACTGTGATCCCAGCCAGCTATGTGTGAGCTGTGCGGCCGCACAGAGCCCCATGGGAGCAGTGGGAGCCAGGCGGCCGGCACAGCTCACACATAGCCGGCTGGGATCACAGTAGCCTGAGCAATGATTAGGGCTATCAGCCCAGTCCCAATGCGCACTCATATGTATGTAATGGAGCCCTAAAATTAAGCTGGGGCTTAGCGTGCAGCGGGGTGGAACTTACTGTGCGGCAGGGGCCTGGCTAACTGCAGCATGGGAAGCAGAAAGGAGTCCCTGCTTCCCCAACAACCAGCCTCCAGGAGCTCCAAGCAGGAGGTAAGAAGCAGGTCAGTGTGTCTGTGTGTGACTGCCTGTGACTGTGTGTGTATATGTGACTGTCTGTGTGTGTGTGACTGTGTGTGTTTCTGTCTGTGTGTGTGTGTGACTGTGTGTGTGACTGTCTGCCCGTGTGTGTGTGTGTGTGTGACTGTCTGCCTGTGTGTGTGTGACTGTCTGTGTGTGTGTGACTGCCTGTGTGTGTGTGTGTGAGACTGTCTGCGTGTGTGTAACTGCCTGTGTGTGACTGTCTGCCTGTGTGTGTGTGTGACTGTCTGTCTGTGAGTGTGTGTCTGTCTGCCTGTATGTGAGTGTGTGGTGGTCTGCCTGTGTATGTGGCTGTCTGCCTGTGTGTTTGACTGTCTGCCTGTGTGTGTGTGTGTTTGTGACTGTCTGACTGTCTCTGTATGTGTGGATGTTTGCCTCGGTGTCAGTGACTGTCTGCCTCTGTGTGTGTGTGTGTGTGTGTGTGCGCGCATCTGCTAGTGAGGGAGCCTCTGTGTGTGTGTGCCTGCTAGTGAGTTTGTGTGTGTTTGTGTGTGCCTGCTAGTGAGTGAGCTTGTATGTGTATCAGTGAGCTTGTCTGTAGGGATCATATGTTTGTCTGTAAGGAGCATGGGTGTGTCGGAGCCTGTCTGTGGTGAGCATGTGTGTACAGTGAGCTTGTCTGTAGTAAGCATGAGTGTGATCGTGAGCTTGTCTGTAGTGACCATATGTGTGTCAGTGAGCTTGTCTGTAGTGAGCATGTGTGTGTCAGTGAGCTTGTCTGTAGTGAATCTGTGTGTTAGTGAGCTCTTCTGTAGGGAGCGTGTGTGTCAATGGGCTTGTCTGTAGGGAGAGTGTGTGCGCATCAGTGAGCTTGTCTGTAGTGAAGCTGTGTGTGTGTATCAGAGTTTGTCTGTACTAAATTTGTGTGTGTGCCAGTAACCTTGTCTGTGTGTGTCATTGAGATTGTCTGTCAATGAGCCTATTTGTGTGCATCAGTAAGATTGTCTGTGTGTGTGAGTATGCTTTACTGTATAATTTAATTACCCTAAAATAACTAATATTTTGAATTAGAAGAAGAAATGTATCAATATATATATACTGTTGCATCACCAGGGCTCCAGTATCCAGGCAATTGAAATAGTTGGCTGCACTCTCAGATTTCCTTAAAACGTAACTTTTATTGAAATATTTAAGAGAAGATCAATGTTTCAGTGCCTCTTGTGGACTTTCGTCATGATCCTGATGCAAGTCCACAAGAGGGACTGAAACGTTGATCTTCTCTTAAATATTTCAATAAAAGTTACATTTAAAGGAAATCCGAGAGTGCAGCCAACTATTTCAATTGCCTATATATATATATATATATATATATATATATATATATAAACACCCTACATAGCACAATGACTTATGGGGCTGGCATAGATTTTTTTCCAGGGCTGCTTCATATCCCCAGTCCAGCCCTGCAACAATGCCCCCATGTACAGGTTTTATTGTGCTTTGGAAAATTACAGGGTCAAATATAGGGTTTGACCATTTCAGTTTTTACACATTGACATTTGCCATATTGCTTTGCTGGACCTGTTGCCTTCAAGACAGTATGGCAGCCCAGTACTGAGAATTATTTCAGTAAATAATAATTAAAGTTAACTGCTCAAACACCCAAAAGTGATTAATAATAATTAAAGTTTGCTGCTCAAACATTTAAAAGTTATTAATTTTTAATTAAAGTTACCTGCTAAAACACTTACAAGTCATTTATAATAATAAAGTTAGCTGCTCAAACAGAGTTATTTTATAAACTCAAACATCCCATCCGTCATAAACAAGATAATATAATTCTCTGTCTCACAATTATCAGTTACGGTTGTCATACAAAGTGTTGCTAAAAATGGGAATATTTCAGAGGCACTTAAATTTGGTGACACCCAGTTATGCCCAGACACAGAGTGGCATTCTGAGCAACTCCTGGATGGTGTTATGGTGGAAGCACAATCAGAAGATGGCTCACTTAGGGGTTTAACATCTGATGCAGTAAGTGTCTCACTATCAGATCGGTCAAATTACTCTCCTCTGTCTCACTCATCAGCATGGTATAAACTCCTCCGCTGTGTAATAAAGGGCCATGGCGACATTTTGAGGTCTAAAATAAGTTTTTGCTAACCTGGCAAACACTTCCATTCTCAGGATCCTACACCCAAAACCAAAAAAAGAAAATTAATGACTGTTCGCAGAATAAAATGCTGTGGTCAGCACTAAAAATAAATAAATTGGGATAAAAAAAGCAGTACTAGTGTACCGAACACTTTGATCTAAGTATTGGCACTTTTTAATATATTTTTTTAAACTTGATAATTTGCAACACTGCCAATAAATACAAAACACTAAGCCTCAGTAAATACTATCCTAGCAACCTACGTTTCTACCCTGCCCTTACCTTCTGTGACACTACACCCCACTCGTGTCACTGATGGAGTGGAAGATTCAGGCCGGGCTACTAGTATGTCGGTAGGGGAGAGAAAAGTTGATAATCCCAAAGGAAAAGTAGACTAAGTTAAAACTTAACTGTTAATAATACAAATAAAAAACACATCCTAATAAACAAACCAATCGAAAAGAAAAATAAGAAACAAAAACACTCTGTACATATATATGAAAAAGGATTTCCTGAGTCGTGGCTAGAATCCCTATGAAATATCTACTAAACAGTGATAGGAAAACTCTGCCAGAAAAGGGATACTGTGGAAACCTGGAGAGGAAACAGGGCTATTCAGAAAACCCACAGCCACCAATAACCTTTTACACTTGCAGAGCCACTATACCGTTAGACTCAGAGCTGGTATTCCATATGGCCAGTACCTTAGAGCACACAGAAATTGCACTAATAATACCACATTACAAAAAGAGGCGAAGGAAATTAGAACCAGATTCAAAGTACAGGGCTACCCCAATAAAATTCTGAAAAGGGCATATCCAAAGGTAGCATCCATGGATAGAGCCACCTGCCTCCACTTCTCAAGAACAAAGACTACCCAACAAGCCATTAGGTGCATAGGAACACTTGATCAGTACTGCGAGCCAGTAAGACAAATATTCATCAACAACTGGCCTATCCTCAGGCATAATGACGATCTTCAGGATAGTCTTACCAACTCACATACACTTGAGGGATACTAACTAATTTCGAATTGACCCAATTCAGTAAATGTTGAAAAGCGTTTATTT